GCTTTTTCACATAAGCTTTAATGTCATCTCCTTGGTCTTGAATTGCATTCCAAAACTTATACCTTTCTGCAATTTGTAACCTTTTTGGACTAAAATGTTCAACTAATTTTGTTTTTAACACATCATAACTCTTAGCACTGGGTAAATCTGGAGTTAAAATGTCTTTAAGAGTTGAATATGCCTCTCCACCGATCAGTGTTAATAACATAGACACCTTCATTTGTTCTTCTACCACATTACACACAAACAGTTGTTCCATTCTCTCCATGTAACTTACTATATCTCCCACTTTTGGGTCAAAATGTTCTATATTACCAATTAGATTATTTGCCATGATTTTATTCACTTAAGACTTGTGAAAAATCCCAATATGTTGGCTATTTTAGGTTAGGTGGACACGTGACATCGGCACTTAATTCCAAAAACTTTTGATTTCACACTTGAACGTGTGGACTGACTGACTTACACGTGGATACGTTGACTCGTCGCCAAATAATGTTATGTATTTTAATTAAAAGACATTGGTATAATTAAGATAACTTTATTCATAAAGTTACATGTGGTTACATGGTTATGAACATGAACATGACATTGACATGCATGTCATCATTCTTCTTTTTTTAGTTGCCGCAGACAACATTCACAACAATTAACATGTAGAAGAATGTCCTGGATGAGAAATTTAAGAGAGTGGTTTGGCTGTACCACTAACGAATTATTCAAAACAGCATAACATTAGAATCGCCATAATGATATCCAATCTCCGATAGGAGAGGCACTCAAAGAAGAAGATTAACATGTCAACTTTCAGATGGGTATTATCCATAGTCCAGTTTCATAGTTGCAGTGAGCTCTACAAGAATGGTGGCGATGCCCTACTACAGACACTGCATAAGCTTTTACTTCTTGTTTGGCATAATGAGACCATGCCTTGTGAATGGTCTCAAGGCGTGATATGCCCGTTACATAAAAAAGGTGACCAGCTCCAGTGTGACAACTATAGAGGTATAACCCTGTTAACAACTGCTTACAAAATACTAGCAAATATCCTCTACGAATTGTAAGTTTACACAGTGGGCATAATTGGTAAATATCAAGTTGGATTCACTCCAGAAAAATTAACAATTGACCAGATTCATTCAATAAGACAGATTCTCGAGAAAACATTAGAATTCAATATTGAAACCCATCACCTATTCGTCGACTTCAAGGCCGCATACGACAGTGTCAAGAGAACAGTGCTATACCAATCAATGCATGAGTTTGGTATACCAGAGAAACTTATCCGACTACCGAGAATGACAATGTCTAACTTAGAAGCCACTGTTAGAATACAGGGAGAGAGTTCTAGATCCTTTGAGATAAAGGATGGACTCAGACAAGGAGATGCTCTGGCTTGCCTCCTATTTAATATTGCCTTAGCAAAGGCACTCCGAGATACACGAATTAGGGATGGCGGTACTATTTACAATAGATCGATACAAGTCTTAGCATATGCTGATGACATTGACATAGTAGGGCGTAGCAAGCGAGATGTTGAGCAATATCTCCTAGAATTGGAAACAGCGGCGAAACAGGTCGGTCTAGTCATCAACGAAGACAAAACCAAGTACATGTTGGTTACAAAGGATCCGATAGCAAATGAGGAACGAGAAACAGTCTTTGGAAGTCATACCTTTGGACGTGTTGACAACTTCACATACCTTGGGTCGCTATTGACTGCTACCAATAAAACAAGTGAAGAAATCAAAAGACGAATAAATCTTACAAATAGGGCATACTATGGACTCCAAAAGCATTTCCACTCAAGAAACATTCAAAGAAAAACTAAAATTATTTATACAAAACATATAAAAGGCCGGTCCTCACATATGGAGCAGAAACATGGACTCTAACGCAGAAAGATGAAAGACTTTTGGGAATATTTGAGCGTAAAATACTCCGCAAAATATTTGGAGCTGTAAACGACCAAGGGCAGTGGCGCAGAAGATATAAATTTGAATTGTATCAGCTCTTTGATGAGCCAGATGTCATAACGTTCATTAAAACACAGCGACTTAGATGGGCTGGACACATAATACGAATGCCAGAAAATACCATTGCTAAAAAGCTAACCACAGGAACACCTGTAGGAAAAAGAAGCAAAGGCCGACCGCGAATTAGGTGTTTAGATGGAGTTGAAACCGACTTACGAATATTAAAAATCAGAAGATGGCAACATGTTGCCAAAAACCGAACAGAATGGCGACGAATCTTAGAGCAGGCCAAGATCCACAGAGGATTGTCGAGCCAAAGATGATGATGATGATGATTATCCATAGTCCAAAAATGTTTCATAATCATTTCATAAGGCATTAACACCCGAAGAGAAAGTTAAGCAAATCTAAAACATTTAAAGATGTAATTTTGCTCCTAGTAAACTATGAAGTTTTTTTGTCTTTTTCCAAATGGGTATAAATAAAACACTATGTACACAGTAGCTTCTCGAAATGCAATATCATGGTGTTATAAGATTTATAGTTTATTCGTCTTCCGGGTTTGGACCGTGTCATTTGTGAGTGACCCAAAAGAGGGTTCATCTCATTTGGTCCAAACGGAAGACAAATAAACACGGTCCAAACCCGTGTTTATTGTACACAAATGTAGTGTACACAAATTGACACGGTCCAAACCCGGAAGACAAATAAACTATAATTCTGACTCTGGCCGTGGAAGCCTACGATTTCATTTGTGTTATAAGATGTCTAAACATTACATGGACCAGTAGACAACATACTTTCATAGACCATACCAACACAAAATTATAACAGTGCATATACAGATAACTGATGTACAGGATAGACAAAGGAAATTTTTTTCTTTTCAAATAAATAGAATATAAAATATAAATTTTAATTTTGTTATATATATTTAAAAAAAAAAACTGGGATATTACATATGTATTTTGAATGACAAGTATATTGATGTCTAACTTTATCTTTTTTCATTTACTGTTTTATGGGAATAAACCACACTTTTACTTTAAAATAAGTTTATTTGAGGTTTCGATTGCTACTTTAGATATCATTTTCATATTCAAAATATTAGCTTTTCTCCACACTAATTCATCAAAATATTTTTATTTCTGATGACGCATATCAACATCACATAGTGTCATCTTAGATCAAAGTTGGTCTTTAAAAACCACCTTTTATGGGTACCTACTTTTAGATCACACACATCTTTCCATTACAACTATTCTGTTCTATTGTATATATTAACTATGGAGCTTATCGTTTTGTCTATTTCCTGCAGTTTAACACATATGATAAAAACTTGAAACTACAACTTTACATTACATTTCATTAAAATGGAGTTGAATCTATTGAATTTTGACATTTCTATATATACGAAATATTAATATATTCAACTATCTCAATTGATAAATTCATTTTCACCTGGACATTTTTTGTTCTATTAAAATTGTTCCTTTAAAACCATGTGTTAATATAATATTATCGAAAAATTAAGTAAGATTGCAAAAGAACTTGTGAACTCTATTCAAAAATAAAAAAATCTCTTCCACTCACAGAAGCTTTGTTGAGATTACAATTTGTTTTGTAAAAGTAAAATATAGTTTATATACAATATTCATCATCATCATACATAAATCACATTCTTCTAAAATCCATATTGGATGGTTTGACCAACAATTTTATTAAAGTAAAAATAAAAATTTAAAATAGCATAATCTCAAAATCCTTATTACAATAAACAACTTTCTATGACAAGTAGACTTTACAGGACAACCAACCACAGGACAAATAATTCAATTCTAAATGAGCTAAGACCATCTCTAACAATTAGAATATTTTGGACATGTTATGAGAGCAGACACAGAATGCATGGAAAGACTTATTATTAAAGGAAAGATAGAAGGCTGAAGATCCGCAACAAGATGGATGAATCAAATTACAGGAATATGTAAATGACCTATGCACGAGTTAAAAAATGAGCAGAGACAGACATTACACAACATAACGATGACTACTACACTTCCTCACGGGGATCATGATTGAAGAGAGACTTAACAGTATATACATTACCTCATTGTATTTCTAGCCAGTATCATATCAAGTGTATACAGTGAAATCGAAGTCTATTGAAAATGTGATTCAATATTTTGTCTGAATATTCAAAGTTTCTTTATATTCTTTTTGATTACATATATTTTCCCAAACAAATAAATGACAAGTTAAATATGTTTATATGGGATTAAGCCACAATTGAGTGTAATTATGTTTTGTAATTTTTTTTAGGAAACAATTTTTAGATATGAAATCGAAACATCCAACATTAGTTAGCATTACAGCTTAATCCCATATTAAAATGTCATTTATTAATGATATTACAAATTACTAATTAGTGATGCAAGTGGGATACTTATTAAAATTGGATTTTTTGTTGCTAAGATATTCGAAGTACTTGTTCGCTTTGTTTTGATTCCCTTGAATAGTAAAAATTTATTTGAATCCATTAAACAACATGAAAGATACTCACATATCCTTGATGAGATATATGCTGTGCACAATACTAGATTCATTATGACAAATACATACTAACTGCAGTGATGTTTTTTTATTTATGGGACATATCTGAAACTGGACTGGAAATCAAATGTAAATTTTTACAGGTCAAATGAATGTAGATGTTAATGCATGCAAAGAATTATGGCTAATATAATTTACAAGGAAATTGTTGCGAACAAGTTGAAAATTAGAAATTGATGTCACAAAATGTTTGAATGGTTTATAGACACATGCACAAAAAGATTACCACAATATAGAATTTTTTAAGAATTAACCTCACAATGCTATATTAAAAATTCTAATAAAAATGAAATATTGTGAAATATGGAAATTTCATGAGATATTCAACTATTAACTGGATATATAGGAGAACATACTCCATGATAGGGCAAAATCCTAGACCAACTTATATTATAAAATAAAACACTGTTTAGGATGGATGTTATTTCCTATAATTAGTTAAATAAATTTTCAAGTAACATCTGGAATTGTAAGATATTAACATTGTAAAAAATAACCTCATAATAGTCTATTTTAGCTTCTTCTTGGGGCGCAAGTTGTTGGTGTGTCCACATTTCTTCTTTCTGCAGTTGGTGGCTCTTGGGTGTAATCTGGCGTAACATTTACGGCAGATCATTTTCTCGCAGTTGTATTTCATGGCTAAAATACGAAGGGAAGGTTCAATGAGACCTCCTCTCAATCGGAGCACCAAGTGAAGGGTGGATTCCTTCTGGATGTTGTAGTCAGACAATGTACGTCCATCTTCGAGTTGTTTTCCAGCGAAGATCAAACGTTGCTGGTCTGGGGGAATACCTTCTTTGTCTTGAATTTTAGCTTTTACATTTTCGATTGTATCAGATGGCTCAACCTCGAGGGTGATGGTTTTACCAGTGAGAGTTTTCACGAAAATTTGCATTGTGGAAGTTTCTGGAATATAAATGACGTTTATGAGCAACGTTTGTCAATTCATGGCTATTCTAATATTTAAACAAGAAAACATCAATGTAATACACTAATTTAGAATACATTTACAAATATTTAGGGCTAATATTACAGAAAAATATGTAAAAAACACTTACTTATTCCACAACGTGCTAACTTCCGAATGAAAAAGACAAATGAAGTCTAGTTTATAAAGAATTTGATAAGTGACAGTGGAAGAACACATTTCCGTTACAAAAAGCGTGGCAAATTTAAAAATAGAAAGACACTTAATCTTTTTCTAACGTTTATAATAAAAAATATGTGTAAGGAATTATAAATACTAATAATGACAATCTAATAATATGTAAATAAGTTAAGATATTGATGTATATATACGCATTTATGAAGATTTTCTTAAGAATACGCCTTCCATATTTTAACCTTTTAGGTATGCCACCCAACATACATGTTGATGTATTATGATTTACATACCCATACAAACAAAAAAAATTTGTTTAATTTATACAAAGAAATCAATTATCTCTGAATTTATATAATTTTAAATAAAGCATTTACTTTATTAGATATTTTAGATCTGTTGTTCTACATCATTAACTAAGCACAAACTCTAGTATTAGTGATAATATTTCATACGTTTATATTACTTCTATTTTTAACTATTTGTACTGCTTGGTTTAATATCAATTTCAATTTGAAAACCATTTTTCTCTATTTTATATATTTGTTTTTACTTTTCTATTTTAGATAACTTTTTGCAAATTTTTTGTTTAACAGTTAATATTACATATTTTAGCAATTATTTTTTTTAGTTTAGTACGTAATTCGTTATTGATTATTGGTATCATTTAAAGAAAAGAGTATTTACTCATATTTTTTCGTAATACATAATTCCTTATCCACAACGTATCCAATTGATTCATTGTGATAAAGGAAGGAACAACTATCTATCACAATCTTGCAGTTGATGCTTTAACAACTGTTGTATATGTACGTTTGTACACTCAAGACAGCCTGGAGTCGAGGCCATTCACCTATATCAGTATTCTTCTCTAGTTGATTCGAGTGAATAGGCAGCATCCAGCAGCATTTGGCAAATATACCTACTCATAGGTAGTAATAAAGATCTAGTCATAACTATGTATAATACATTCAAAAATATAGTGTTTGCACAGTTCAAAACCATAATTAATGCGAGTGAAATAAAATCATTTAATTAATATGAAATATTGTTTATTTTTGGAATAAAATATGCAAATAATGTTTGTGAGAATACGAATAATTAATTACCCAAACTATATGTATAATCACATTATTAGTGTTGACGTTATAGAGATCTGCCAAACCGGGACTGTTTTTGAACTGTATAAATAAAACTGGAAATCAAACAGGGAGATATGTTATCAGAACTAATCAACCGAAACCATTTTTCTCTTGATATAATACATAAAAATATTTTAGATTTTAAAGGGGACCAAGTATTGCAGTTTTCTCTTTTCTTGTTTTCGCATTATGTGTTTTTTCCTATTCTGTATTATTATTCAAAACTTCTTCGTGTGTCATGGTCTATCCATGGTATACGTACCATTCTATGATAGCACCACCAATACAGGTTTATATAGATCCGATTTTTTCACCGCCGTACAATAATATGAAGAATATATAGCATCGTAATAATCTTGTGCTTAATTCTAGTGTTACATCTCTCTATTTTGCTTTTGCATATTTCGATGATCCTATTATGCTAAATGGGCAGCGGATAGGAACTCTTCGGACAGTCTTATCAGGGAAAAGAAATCGTTCCCTGCCCTCCGCAGATTCCAGGGGTTTCCTGACCCGGGAAAGTAGCCCCCGTAGCTCCCGTGGTTTTAGGGCTGGTATAGAATCAAGCAGCGTCTGATCTAGAATGGACTGCTGCAAACAGCATCTGACTACACATTAGGGGCGGCTGAAATCTAAACTCGCCAACGTGGCGTTTTAATTGGCATTTTCCCTTCAATATATTCATGCATAAATCGAGATCAAACACTAGAAATGTAAAAAAGGAAAATCAAACACTAGAAATTAAAAGAAGGACACAATTGTCATGGACTGCTTTTGGTAAGTTGAGCTTTATTTTAAAAGACAGAAAAATCCCAATACGCTTAAAACGAAACACCTATGACACTTGTACCAGTTGCAACATATGGATTGGAACCTATGGCAATAACAAGAAAAATGGCAGAACAATTAAGAGTAACTCAACGGCCCATGGAGAGGGCCATGTTAAATATAAGCCTCAGAGACAAAATTCCTAAGACAGAAATACGTCGAAGAACCAAAGTAACCGACATCATGGGGAAAATAGCGACATTGAGATGGCAATAGGTAGCACATGTAGCAAGACAAAACACCAACATATGGTCTCATAAAGTGACATTCTGGAGACTTCGAGAAACAAAAAGAAGCGTGGGAAGACCCAAAAAGAGATGGATAGATGATATAACAGCTGTAGCTGGAAAGAAGTGGATGAGAATTGCAAAATATAGGGAAGCGTGGAAGCAATTGGAGGAGGCCAATGTCCAACGATGGATAAATGAAGGTGGAAGAAAAAGAAGAAGATTATGCTAAAGCACAAGCTTCTTGCAAAATTCATTCATTATTATGTTTGCTGCTAAATATTTAGTTTACTTTCCTTGGGTAAATTAAATCCTTTTTCTATGATTTTTTCCTGCAAGATCTTCTTTTAGAGCAATTTGGTAACGAATACTCACTTTAAAAACAAAAACAGTGACATAATTTACCTTCGGATATAATATTGCCAAGACAAACCTCTATCTTATAATTCAGACACTGTATATTTGAATATAGTTTATAAGTGTGTGTACGATCGGTATTTATCCTGCAAAGGTACGCATAGAAGTGATGTTTAACAGCTGTGTTGTCTAAAACAAGTTTTTTTATTGTTCAAACGGTCACCGGAAGTTTTTGAGATACGTACAATTTGCATAAGACGTTAGAATCTATTATTAGGACATTTAACTGCAAATTTTAAGAAATCTTATATAATAAGCTTATTATAACTGTATAAATTTTATTTTTTGAGTGACATCAAATTAAGACACAAAATTGGAATTTTTAATACATAAAGGACAATTTTCTCCTACCATTTTAGTGTTACTAAGCACTTGATGATTTGCCTAATGCTACGTACTAACTTTATTTAGAATAATGGCCAAAATATATGACTCATTTCACTTGATATAGACAGCCAGAAGGCATCACGCTTTGCTCTTTTTGACAACTCAGAGAGTTACCCCACTAACTACCTTACTTATCCTTACTATCTTACTAAGCCTAGTTTACAAGCTCCTCCAAATACTGATCTTTAAAAGAATTGGTCCAAAACTATTTCAAGAAACACCAATTAAAAAAACAGGTTTCACCCAACAAAAAAGTATGGCTGATCAAGTGCTTTATATAACCATTTATTTAGAGGCAGGTTACCAAAAAAAAACTGCGTACCTCTGTGGCATTCATTGACTTATCGGCTGCATATGACACGGCCTGGAAAGATGGTCTGATCTGTAAGTATCTCAAAATAATACCCTGGAAAACGACGGCTCAACTTTTAAATAACAGGCAGTAGAAATTTTCGTGTAAAGACAAAAAATACAATAAACAAACAGAGAGCGCAGACAATTTAAGTGTACATTCAAAACCAACTGCTTACACGGTTTATCAAGTGTATAAATCTTTGTAGGTAAAGAACAATAAATTATAACAACTGGAGTATACCTCAGCAAAGTTAAGAACCCTCAACAACATCATACAGAAGCTCTGAGGGACAACATGGGGAATATCAGCAGCAACTCTTAGATGCTCAGAGCTCAGCTCTTCAGTTGGACAGCACGACTAGATACTGTTCCTGTATATGGCTGAATGGCGCTCACAAAAAAATTTATAGACTCCCATCTTAATACTGTCATGTTTATAATATCTGTAACGATTAAATCTCTACCAACAGAATGGTTGCCACTTCTAAGCCAAAGTCTCAGGGGATCTCCGTCGCTAGCATGCTTTACTCAGATAATTCCAAAAAAATACTTTACAATCGGCAATTACCAATGCACAAAGACATCGCTGACGCCAAAGCATATTGCTTGTGCTCCATACAACTAGAAATGCAATACATCTGAGTTCCAGCAATTTGTAAATGCACAAACAGTGAAAGAACGACAGAATGACAGCCCCTAGGCTGAGGATTAACCCAAAGAGTTCTTCTTCTTCTTATGGTTCTTCTTAGGGTGATTGTCCGTTCCGAACGTTAGCGATCATTCTGGCTATGATGATTTTATTGGTTGCTGTACAAAATAGCTGTGTTGAGGTCTTTCTATACCATGCTCTCAGGTTAGCAAGCCAGGATATTCTTCTTCGTCCTGGGGCCCTTTTTTCTTCAATTTTACCTTCTAAAATGCATTTAAGTAGCTCGTATCTGCCTTGATTTTTCATTATATGTTCATCCTCCGCAGTACTTCTTCATTTGTGACTTTGTCTGTCCATGGTATCTTAAAGATCCTTCTATATGACCATAGTTCAAAAGCCTGCTTCTTATGGTGCCATATAGAATTAGTGGATGTTGTCGACAATTCTGACATACTCCTTTCGCTCTTGTTTGGCCCTAAAGAGTGCACGGGCATCGAGGTTTGTCCAAACCCTTATGTTTTTAAGCCATGAGTAATTCTGTCTTCCGATGCCCCGTTTTTCTTTTATCTGCTCTTTCATGATAAGCTTCAAGAGCCGGTACTTGGAATTTCTAAATGTATGACACATATAGACGAGCAGACAAACGCAGTAGAGGAAGACCACCTACACGTTGGGCCGACGACATCAGGCGTATCACTAAAAATTGGCAACAAAGAGCACAAAATCGTGAGGAATGGAGGAGTTTAAGGGAGGCCTATGTCCAGCAGTGGACGTGATAAATAGAGGCTGGATGATGATGATGATGATGATGATGATGACACATATAAGCAGTTTTTCTTCTTTTTACTATTGGCAGCAATTCTCTTCTCTTCTTAAATTTAATACTTCGACATTTGTTGTGTGATCTGTCCAGGGAATTTTAAGTAGTCTTCTAAATACCCACATTTTAAAGGCAATCGGTTCATCACGTTGGCCTGCATGGTCC